TGGGATACGCCAGGATCTCTTTTAACACCTCCTCCGAGGAATTTAACTGATTGGAAGTTGTCTCCCTTGTTTGAAACACCATGTAACCTCTAAGGTCTGGTTCGGAGGCTTCGTTTGCACTGTTTGTTGACTTCGTTTGCTGGCTAGACGAGCTAGAGTAGGTGTAAAGCTTTTTCCAGCCATGAAGGTTGGGCTCCCGTCCAGGTCATCATTCTCTTCCATTCTACGACGGTATTTTTTTTCTCGCCGGAGTGGACAGAGCAGCTTCCAGGGCATCAAATGCTTGAACCGTAGCGGTTGTTTGTGTGGAACCTGTCTCAGGTGAATCTTCCTCGTTAGACGGTTTGGTAGAAGGAACTAGCACCTCCCCTGAGGCCTGGTTTCTGTTAAGCGGATATATACCAGACTTGCGAAACGCACTAACAAGAACAGAAGGACTCTTGACGTCCTCCCAATTCCTTTTAAAGACTGAGCAGAAATTCCTCTTGTTGATGTCACTGTTTGGGTTCCGCTGACTGAATTCTCTAACTGATTTATACCAGCTCTTCTTCATGGGTCCGAAGAGACCAACATCAGCAGGTTGAACGAGGTGAGTCGCGTTTTTGAGAAGAGCATACAAACAAATTCCATTCTTCTGCGCTAGCTGGAATGTCTCAAGATCAAGATGAGAATCATGGCTGTCATTGAGGAGTACGACGGGCCTCGCTGGTGGAAGGTTTGGGATGAAATGATTCGCAAACCACATGTAAAATGTTTGCGTATCCATGTATCCGGTTTCCGTCATAGAAAAAATACTTGCTTCAACACCTCCCTCTAAGGGGTTGAAAGTCACCGGGACGCGCTTTCCAGGGAAGATGAAGTATTGCGGCATCCACTGTCCACATGCGTTGAAACAAGGTAACATCGTGATGTGCTCTCTACTCCCTGAAAGGACGCGGTAGGGTGCGTGCTTCCGGGTAGATGGTCCAATTACTGTTCCAGCCCTCCCTTGTAAGTCGAACCCAGTCTCGTCGCAATTCCTGATTTGAGCAGGGCAATTTGCGAGACCTTTTTCAATTAGAAATGCTTCAAAATCTGTAAACCAGGTATCTACAGCATCCTTAGATATACGAGCCCTTTTCTTCTCTAGAGGTCGTGCCTTGCGAAGTTTTACTTTAGGGTTGCGCTTGATGAAACTTCCAAACCACTTGTTTCCAGGTTTGTTGTCTTTAAAAGGTGTGGTTCTTCCATCTTTGTCAAGGAATTTCTTCACTGCCACAAACCACGGTTTGCCAGCTCAATCAGCCAATCTGCGAATTGTTTTTCTTCAGCTTTGGTTAGAACTGGAGAAGACCCCTTCCGGCGGTCAAAGTTCACACTCCCATTTAGCCTGTCATGCAGAGTTGATTTCTTTAGTTCCTACTTTTGTGCGGCTTTTCGAGTACTCATTCCACCTTCTCTCACATCTTTCATCGCGTTTAGAAATTTTTCGGGCCGTTGCAACGCCATTCTACAGTCACAACAGAGAGATTTGTATGAGAATTCTTGGTTCAACCATTATCGCTTCCGGTTATAGTCGTTTTACGATATGCAGTCATGCGAAACAAACAAAATAGTTCGCCTCGACAAGTGCGTGATAAAAATTTCCATGAGGAGTTGAGTAAAGTTACATTACACAAATGAATATATTTATCCTAAGCTATGGTTATAGTTATGGATAAGAAATAAGTCTTGTCCGGATAGTGTACGCAGCTAATTCAAGGATTTTGCACGACAAAGAAAACACTGTCCGGATACTGGGTACCCGACATCCAAAACTTAGTTAATGTTTATGGCCTCCGTTATTCCAAACCAGTAACATTTTAAAGCTAATCATTGAATTTTTTGAAAATTTAACTTCTTCAAGTATCCTAACCTCAAATATTTTAAAATTTCTTTGAAACTGTCACATTTTACAAGCCTATATTTGAACAGCACTAGTTTTACTGCGCAGTAAACAGCGTAAATATTAGCCATGAAAACTTGACTCACCTGAACAGAACGGCGCCTTCTGCAACTGTTTCTCAAGTTGTGAGCCCGCCAAAACTTGAATTTCAAAGCTGAAATGTTCGGATTTCGTTCGGAATACTTCGTTTACCGAAAATTAAGAAGGGCGCCGGAAAAATTGAGTTTTCGTTTTAAGTGCCCGGATACTGGTACTGTCCGGATACTGGGCAACATACTGTACTCACGGGACTAAATCAGCTAAATCAAATGCACTTGAGAACTCGGGGAAAATTGAAAAGGCAACAGAAAAATAGAAATTTCAGTATTTTAAATTCGAGCGCCCCTAGCCAAAATATTAAAACTAGAATATCGTGTCGCCGTCTTTTCGAAAACGTTTTACCTTCTGCGCCAACAGAAAAAAACTTCGAGATCTCCTACCATCTCGCAAGAAGTTAAATGTGATTGTGCTGACGATTTTACTTTTAGTTGAAAAAATTAAAAGGTAAAAGAAATTTTTTTAGTTAGCTAGTCTACAGTTTTCCCACGAATGAAGCATTTGCATGCTCAAAAAAACAAGAAACGGAAGCAATTTTGGTTTGGCTGATTCAGCACATGTTAATCAAACAAAAAAGTGGGCGGCAGACGTTTCGTAGAAGGTTTGTATCAGGCTCTCTTTTCGTTTCGCCTTGCCCACCGGAATGTTATTTACAAAGCGAAACGAAAATTGAGCCTTATCTCAGGTTAAGAGAAAATAGAAAAACAGAAGATGATCAGGAAAAACGATCATTTTTTTAAATCATTTTTCTAATTTTGAAGCACGCTTCAAAAATATAAAAAAAATACTTTATACGGTCCCCTTGCCAGTTAACCGGGGTCAATAGGTTTGATTTGAAAGTCTAGCTGTTTCCTTGATAGACTAGAAGCTATGGTTGCACTTATTAAAGGTCCTTATTGACTTGACCGTTAAATATGATGTGTGTTTTTTTTTTCCTTTGGCCTTAAACTGATGACATTCTGATTTCATTTGCCAGCATTTGATGACTGTTCGGACGTTTTGAATGTGACTGGGGTTTACTACATTACCAACCGTGGTTCGGATTCATTTCCAGTACTATGTGACCAGTCAGCTGACGGAGGAGGTGAAAAGCTGATTCCGGTGTGCTTGTGTGTCTGTGTAAAATTTCAGTGTACATACGGGCAAACATGTGTAGATAAATTACATAAAATACTCTAATCATCATTTCCAGCATATGAATAAATGACGCAATACATGACTCAAAATATTGACGCAGTGATGTAAATTCCCTTGTTTACGACGTCATATCGTTGAATTCATCGACAGAACCCAATTTTCAACCCGCTTTAAGTAGCCATGTAGCAAAAAGTACCTAATTTCGTATTGCGTCTGGTAAAATGTTAAATGTAGCTAGTCCATTAATCTTTCTTCAAAAAATAGCAGCAGTGATGTCATCTATAATTAAAGAACGAACTGGAACCATCCGCCTTCTTGGATCTGCCTTTTTTTTTAATTCATTAAACGTATACAGACCTACATAGACCTGAATGCTATCATGCTACCGCCTCCAAAATGTACTTAAAATTCGTATAAATTGATGTAATCGTAATAGAAAATTTTTTTTGAGTGAATTTGATGCTAAAAAAGGCAAACACATCTGCAAAGTATGACATCCGTGGAAAATAAATACTGATAAAAATTAAACCCAGCGTCTGCTATTTGGTTCTTATTTTTTTTCTTCAAGCTAGTCACTACAAAACCTGCACTTCTTTTAAAGTTTAAATAATTGAGAGAAAATAATGCTAAATCAAAATAATGTAATCAAAATAGAAATAAACTTTTTTTTTTAAATGAAAATTTTACAAAACATGTGGTTTTCAAAACTAGGTTGCCATGGTAAAGTCAATGTTGACGTACACCTTGCAACGACTTTAAAATGTTTCCAGATAATTTTCAGTAAAACATTACAGTACTTTTCAGCAAAAAGTAATTTCAAAGTTCTGTAGTCATAGCCTGTTCTATTTTGAAGGTATTGGACTTTTTAGCTACGAAAGCCTCAAAGCCTCCGTCGATTTGAATGGGGTCAAATGAATTCCATTTTACTTTAAACTCGTTTAAATTAACGAAGTTTGTGACAGAAAATTTAATTTGTGTATAAAAGTATGCTTAGAAAGTAAACAAAATCTGCAAGTTTTGTATCTCCGAGATAAATGAACCCCGCCAAGGAAATGAACCCATAATTCGCTTTTTGGTTTAATTAGTCACTATAAAGGCTGGGAACAGATAATATCAACTGTTATGATAACTTTGATGCAAATAATGCTGAATTAAGGGTGATATATAGAGAATACTTCATGGAAAGTGCTGGCGTACGGTATTTACGCACGAGTTGTTGACGTATCAGAAATCTTACTCGTTCGCTGCGCTCACTCGTTCAATTTCTGATACAAAAATAACGAGTGCGTAAATACCGTACAAAGCACTTTCCATGTGGTATTGGCTTTTTTATTTTAAATCTTTCAAAAATGCTAAAATTTGCCGCTACACACTTACCGCAAAATGACAACGAAAACGAAGTATCAGCTTTTTAGTAAAAACGTTCGTTAAAAACATAAATGACGGTGAGGATATGAGGTAATCCAAGAACCATAAGTAATCTCAACTGTTTGTTCTCAATGCACAATTGAAAATGAGTGAATTTAAGTAAAATGGCCAGTTTCAATATAAACTTAAGCTTAAATGAAAGGCAAAGTAGCTCCGACAAAAAGCACAACAAAAGCTTACGTCTCGTTCTGTTTATCCCTTTCCGCTGTTGTTTCACGAGCTCTCTACCGTTTTCTTTATCGACAGTGAAACAAACGAAACTATTCCCACTCCATTTCCGAAATGTTTATCACTTTTTTAGCGAGAAAAACTCTTTGAGTAAAACTTTTCTCGTTGA